ACCATACCATACCATACCATACCACACCATACATACCATACATACCATACATACCATACATACCATACATACCATACATACCATACATACCATACATACCATACATACCATACATACCATACCATACCGATACATACCATACCGATACATACCATACAATACCCTACCATACATACCATACAATACAATGCCATACCATACCATACCATACATACCTTACAATACCACACCACACCACACCATACCATGCCATACAATACGACACCACACCACACCATACATACCACACATACCATACCATACATACCATACATACCATACATACCATACCATACCAACCATGCAATAAAAAAAAACTACACCACACCATACATACCATACATACCATACATACCATACATACCATACATGCCATACATGCCATACATGCCATACATGCCATACATGCCATACATGCCATACATGCCATACATGCCATACCATACATACCATACCATACATACCATACATACCATACATACCATACATACCATAACATACATACCATACAATACAATACAATACAATACAATACCGTACCATACCATCCTGCTGCAAATTCTGGACTACACAAGCCCAAAACTCACTTCCCAAGCAGGCTGTAATTAATTCACCCCAGAGGAAGCAAAACAACCGCGGTCTTTTTACAAGAAACTAGCCAGGCTAGTTTTCTTCTGCTCAGCTCTGGTTGGGCTTTGCAACCAAAAAGCCATCTGCGACACCTGCCAACGTTGGTAGACATGATAGACATGTTTGCGGCATCATGACATGATAGATGGTAGACATTAATGGCATTTGTCGATCCTTCTTTTGTTTAGGCAAGCAATGCACAGGGATGTGGACAGCTTTTGCCTCTGCCTACCCCTTACATTATGCGCCCCGGTCAAAATTTGTAAGGGTTTGAAGCCCGATATTGGCCTGACATCCAAATTTCAATGTGGATATATGTGGCTTGAAACATGTGGAACACTATCTGCCCCGGCCGAAATGGAGAATGCTGAGCCCCAAAAACCAAAAATCTCCAGTTTGGCTAACTCTTACACTTTGGTTGTTTAACGGCACCTATTGGGCAAGCAGATGGATACAACAACTTGGACCCCAGCCTCTTTTATCGTGTTGGAAACAATTTCCAGCCGGGGGTTTCTTGATGGCGCGCTTTCTTCTGAACAAAGTTTTGGCTTGCTTGCTCATTACTGTGTCCTTACTGTTTGGGTTAGTTTTTGTATTCCCCTTTGTATTCAGTCGAGTCTCTGACCCGGGCGTCTGGATTCTTTAGTGGGACGCCCCGTGGCACAAGGCAAGATACCTGAAGAATAGGACCCCTCAGCTGCAGGCACATGGAAGAATGTCTAGAGAATCAGAAGCAGGAGCCACCAAAATCTATGAAACCTATAGAATCAGACCCAGGAACACACCTCGACATAGCCAAACAATTGCTTAAAGAATCAGACAACCCAGGTTGGAGTTGTAGACATCCCTCCCCTATAAAGCCTTGAATATATTTTGAAGCTTTGGGTGGTTCTTAGGAAATCTACCCACAACATGTTTTTACTAATGTTTGTTCGCCCCACAAATTCCCAACTACAAAAAAAACTCCCAATCTGAAACACATCTCAGTTCAATTTTTGTTTCGGACAATTTTGGAAACATGTTGCAAGTTTCTACTGTTTTGTTCTGTTTTGAATTGTATTGACATGTTTTGGAATATCTATGAATATCTTAATTTCTTCTTGATATCTGCGATGTGCTTCTTTTCTGGCCCATGTATCTCCACTCCATGATTCTCCAAAGAATCAGGTCTTGCCTCCCAACACTAAGGTTTTTGGTCGGTCTTTTGGGGACATCTGGCGTTATGCTTAGAGATATTGGGGATTTCCTGGGGGTGTCTGGATATGAGACCTGGACTCAGTTCAACCTGGTGTTTGGATTCTTTGGAGGCTTAGGCGTGTCGACCCTTTAAAACCTGGCAATCAGGTCCTGCCTCCCAACACAGTGGTTTTTAACAGGTTTTCTGGAGACATTTTGCGTTAAGCCTGGAGGGGTTTCCTGGGGACTGGCATATGAGACCTTGAGTGGGTTCAAGCTGGTGTTTGGCTTCTTTAGAGGCTTATCCGCTTATGCCTTTACACCCCTCTCAATCTCCGTCAAATCCTCTCCGCTTATCTGATCTACTGGATGCCGCATCATTCCCCTATTTTTGATTGAAATATTCCATGGGGGGTCAAAAGGGTTGGAATTGATTTCATGAGCGAAGCGCAAGGCCACCTAAATGCCTAGTACATGATAATGCCTGTATTTTGCTATGAGAGTTCTTGTATGAATCGATATAGGCAATTTTTTGCTCTTATCCTGTCTTGCGTTAGTTTTGTTGCACTTTTTGAGCCATGTTTTGGCCAGCACTTGAAAAAAATACCAGCTCAATTTAGGGTTCCAAAATCAGGACCAGGTGGCCTTCATAGAGAACGTGAATCCATGCAAGAACCAAGCAGAAACTGACAACGCAGGCTAACCGTTAGGCCAACCCAGGTTGTCTGATTTTTTAGAAAAAAAAACTAGAGGGATCTTTTTGTCCTTCTTTTCCTCACGTCACCGAAAATATAAAGCTGCGAAGCATGGCGCTGCGTTTGGAATTGCCTCAGCTGATAGACTTTCTGCATCGCAAGCCCGGTAACAAAATTGCTCTGCAAACGGGGCACGTCCCATTTGTCGCCGCTTCCTCCTGCCTTCCAAAAGCGTCGGAAGACGCCAACACCCGCAATTTTTTCCTCCGCTGGAGCTAACCGCAGCTAACCACAGCTAACCTCTCCAATGTTTGTTTCATCTGCGCCACGGTCCCCAGCTTATGGTTCATGCCCGCCCCCTTGAGACGCAGTGCCAAGTCAAGAGGGCAACCACTAAGCCCCTTCAACGCCAGTGAATCCGTGGCACCTAACAGCGAAGCTACTTATATGATCTTATATGATCTTATATGATCTTATATGACCCTTCATAATTGAACTTGGTCGGAGGGCTACGCCGATCGGTCATGATGTGAAGAACACGTTCCAGCTTTCCTTGAATTCTATTTGATCAGCTCCTTTAAAGTGTCGTACTGCCCCGTGGGGACATAGCAAACAATGCTGCACGAAAAATGCGCAAAGGGAACTTTGGCTGTTCTTGATGATTTGGCTATCTCGCCAATCTGCGCCTGGACTGCAGGCTCCTGACAGAAATTTGAGAAAAAACACTGATAAAGCTTGCCAAACACATCCGTTGATCCGGGGTCCAATCAGTTTCATGCCAAACAAAGCAATCCAAATCATAGAGACGTAAGCTATAAATTATGGATATGAGTGGCAAAAAAACTAAAAATATGCTGCAAACTTGACACAATTGGAGTCGCGTGTGTCTGCAATCTTCCATTCTTTCCCGTCCCACTTCTCCTTGAAAGCGTCACTCCATTCCTGGGTGATGTCTGCGTCCTTGGCTTTGGCTGCACAAATGCTCCGAACCAAGCTCAGCCCTGCCAGGTGTCATCCTGAGGCCTACAGTGATGCTACGAAGGGCCAACACCACCCTGCCAGCAGAAAGCCAAGATATAAACAAAGCGTTGAACAACATGTTTCTTCTCACAAACCCTACCTGCAAGCAAAAGCGGGGACAGCTTCCATGCGAGACAGGACACGGAGCCGCCATGCACCAGGCCCTTCTTGCAGTACTGACCATTCTGGCATCAAAAGATTGCTTGTGGCAAGCGTGATGATGTTGGTATGTTCAGGGCATGCCAGGAACTGCAAGAGCCATCCCTATAGTTAAAAATGTTAAAAAGTAAAGAATACCGCGACATTTTCTTTAGTGAGAGATCCTCAAAACATCCAACCTGCCTCTGGCAATCCCAAGCACTGATAAACATTGTCAATGACATCCTAGTTATGGTTTGGGACATGCACTCTACGGACCCCTTCAACACTTTCAGCCGTCAGGCAAACTGGAGCAAGAAAATCACACCCTTCAGAGGCTCTTCACCTCAAGCATTTTTCATCTTTTTCTCCAACACTCTTGACATCTCTTGACCGTCCCAGTCTGAGTGTACTAATCTCACACCATGGGTCACTACTGCACCTCTAAGGTGCACTTTGCATGTAAACGTGGGGCCACTTTGGCTTCGCAGTAGCCATCTATCCATTTTGGCCTTGTCATCTGCAACATTGAAATGTTACGAAATGTGGAATCGCTGGATTTTGGCAGAAACTTGCAACATCAAAAATAAACATCATGTGAGAGGAAACCTTGCAGTTTTAAGACCTCGCAGCACAAAATGATGATAAACGAGTAAAGATGAGTAAAGGGGGTAGAACATGGTAGAACCAAGTAGACTGGGTAAACTGAGTAAACTGAGCAAACGATTGAACCAAGAAGTTCATTTGCGGTCTTTTGCATGCATCTGACATCGTGCCCGTCAGTGCAGGTCAGTCCGAATATAGGTTCCTGACGTACAGAACTCCTCTCGCAAATGCAAGGCGCCAGCCTGCAAGCATGGTCTTTCAAATAGTGTTGCCAATCAAAGCACTTACTGAAAGCTTCAGCCTGGAGAACTATTTTCTTTGCTTGTGGACAACGAGGCAACCCGCAATCAACAAGCTCTTTGGACTCGCTGGGAGGGGGAAGGCTGGAAGGTGCAAGACAAACTCATGGCCCAAAGTCATCCTTCACACGCCCCTGGTATTGCAGGAAGATACTGAACTCTATTCTTCCCTGAAAGAGGTTTTGTTGTCAGCTCAATTTCGTTTGACTAAATTCCAATGGTCTAGCTGCACTGTCCAAACGACGAGAGGTTGATAGAAAAGTGTTCGTCTGTGGCAAAAAAGCAAAGGACCGGACAACCACACATTAGACGCTCCTTTACTCAAGACATGAAGGAAGAGAGTTTGGACGATGAAGTTTGGGTAAAACACAGGGTTGTGTCGGATCGAAACAAAAAGGCATGGATACATACAGTAGCAGGAAAGAAATGACAGGTCAGTTGGATGAAGAGAAGTTTGACAGAGGTACATTTGATAGAAAAATTGGACGGAGAGGACACGTTCGATGGAGGTAAGTTTGATAGCGATAAGTGTGGTACAAACAAGTTTGCCAGAGATTAAGTTTTATAGCGGCGGGGTTGATGGAGATACGCTTGGTAGAGTAAAGTTGGATAGAGATAGATTAGATTCATTTGATAGGTACAAGTTGGATGGCGGTAAATTTGACAAAATAGATTTGAGAAAAGTGTGGTAGAGAAAAGTTACGATAGGGATTTTGGTTGAACAGAAAAATTGGGTAGAGGATAAGTTTGATAGAGCTAAGTCTGCCGAAGATAATAGATTGGCTAGGCTTAAGTTTCCGTAGCGTATTTTTCTGTTAGAAGTAGGTTTAATAGAAAGAAGTCTGAAAGATGAATTCGATAGAGAAAAGTTTTATAGAGATAAGAGTGCGAACAGAAGTTGGTAGAGATAAAGTTTGGTAGAGCTAAGTTTGATGGTGATAAGTTTGGTGGACTTAAATTTGATATATTTTAAGTTTGATAGAGATAAGCTGGACAGAGATAAAGTTGGTGGGCAAAAGTTTGGTAGAGATAAGTTCGACACAAATTAGTTTGATGATTGATAATCTTAAAGTTGTATATATATATAATATATATATAGGCTAGAGTTAGTCAAGGTGAATTAAGTTTCTAGAGAAAAAGAGGTTAGTGTAAAAGAGATTGGTTTGATGGAGATGGGTTTGATAGGGACAAGTTTGATGGAGACAGCTTTGGGAAAGTAAAGCTTGATAGCGGCTATTTTGGCATAGGGTAAATTTGGTAGGGATAAGTTCGACAAAGGCAAGTTGGGTAGAGGTCAGTTTGGCCGAGGTAAGTGTGCGAGAAGTTTGACGGACGTAAGCTTAACAGACCTGAGTTCGATGGAGTTTGACAAACGTGAATTTGATGGAGATAAGCTGATGACAGCAAACTGAGGTGGTTGATAGTGACGGCAGAGGAGGAGGAGGAGCCGGCAGAAACCCACACTGATGTGGGGAAGAAACGCTTCTGGCAGAGGCTTAGCATGGACCTCTGCCGTCTTCTGGTATCTGTCCAAATCCTTGGTACATCCGTGACTGCGGGTTCAGGGACAGGCAAAAAGGACAAGTTTTGTGAAGAAATTCTCCCAAATATAGAAATGACCAACCTGGAAATCAAATGACAACAAAGTAGCAGTATAAACCAGCCATATTACATGTGTATAAGTTCGTAGTCTTTCTGGCCAAACAAAATGAAGCTATTGATCAAGAATTATTAACGTATCGCAAGCTTCCTGCTTTTGTCATGGCACAGACATTCTCTGTCGAGAGAGGAAGTAGAATGCCTTTTGGACTCCAGCAAAATTAAACTGTGAAGTTACAACTGTAAAATTCACAATGTTGCAACTCATGTCTCCTCGCGGTTCATCACAATGTATTGATAGATCTGTTCTCTGGTTTTCACATGAAAGCAAACGTGCTTGAAGCGCCAATTCCCGGTCATTGTGTGGAATGATCTTTCCCGCAAAAAAAAACACATGACTGCGAAGCGATCTGCATATACTGGCTTTATTACCTTCTGCTGGCAAAACTGCCAAGAGTCATGGAAAATCAATCAATGGCTCACGGTTTAAGAAGAAGCAAAAGAGCAAAAAAACTGCCAAACCGAAACACAAGCAAAGGAGCACAGAAGCAAAAGTAGATCCGCAGAGAGCAGAGAAGTAGAAAAGCAGAAGAGCAAAAGCATAAGCAGAGACGCAGAGAGCAGAGAAGCAGAGAAGCAGAGGAACAGAAAAGCAGAGAAGCAAAAAAGCAAAAAAGCGGAGAAACAAAAAAGCAGAGCAGAAAGCGGAGAAGCAGAAAAGCGAATAAGCAAAAATGCGGAGAGGCAGAAACGCAGAAAAGCAAAGAAGCAAAACAGCATGAAAAAGCAGAAAAGCAGAGAAGCATGGAAAGCGAAATCCAAAACCAAATCCCAAAAAAGAAAAACACCGTCCCTAAAATAGCCATCCCAGGAAATATGGGACCGTACAGTTGAGCTCTTTCGAAACTCAAACCGCTTCTTGAAAGTCAGTCAAGGCGCAGCTGAGATAATCTGAGGCCTTTCAATAGCGGTGCAAATGTTCTTCAACTGGTCATACCTAAATCAGAATCACAGATCTGAATGCGATGCAAATCGGAAAAACATTTTTCAGAGAAGTGAACGCCTCATCAAGTGCGCTATGTGCTTTGAGACTTGAACATCACGTCAAATCTGGTGTCGAGGATATGTGGAGATGCACTTGGTAAGTGCAGCAAAAATTGGTTAAACATGGTTAGACCATTTACACCCTGGGTCACTCGATGCGATCGTCGACCCAAGGGTGCGGTTGTGCTTTAAGAGGGTGCACTTCGTGCCACCTGACGGCTGCTTCGGCTATTGATTGCGTTGCTGTGGCGCTGTACAGTATCCTTCAAACTGTTGTAACCTTCAAACTGGCCCATCGGCAAGATCATCTCCCAGATTGAGATTGTTTTAAGTCTCAAATGTACTCCTGCTACTTGAAAGTGCCTGGATCAGTTACATTTTCTGGCAATAATCTACTCACACTTCTACAGTCACCAGAACCCACATGCAAGCCTCTGGCTGATTGGGCAATCCTCAATCCTTTTGATTTGATCTTGAAAATAACCCTTCGTATCCCTTCGTCTTCCCAGACAACCATGTCAGAGCTGCCAGTGTCTGCATGATGTCCTGCTTGCAGTCACTTGCAGTGTGCATTTGTCTGAATGCAAACCTACTTAAGACATCCGACAGATCAATCAGTCAATCTTCAAGATCTTCGAGGTCTTCGAGGTCTTCGAGTCCCTCATCCTCTTTTCTGTACTGCAAACGGTACAAGCAAACATCTTTCCTTCCGAAGACGTCCAGAGGCTTTCAGCTTGTGGCCATACATTCAATGCGTTTCTCGAGCTTGCTCAATAACCTTAATACATCAACATATGCAACCATGCACGGAGTAAACAAAGTTGAGAAACCATATTGACAGCAGTGTACAATGGTTGCCTTTGAGTGTCAATTCTGGAAGCTACCTGCAAATCACTCCCCAAAGACTTTCTCTCGCTGTATTGAAAGTTGTTGTAATACCTGATGTAATTCTGTCCTTTCACAGAGCTTGGTCTTGTTGTCGCACCACACTGGACCTGAGCACAAATAAGGTCATGGACGTCATGGACAAGGACTGAGGATGACTTAGGCAACCACATAGAAAACTAGCTTAGCAAAAGTATATCCAGGTGAAAGGACCACTTCCAAGCCCACAAACTTGAATCGTAGAAGGCCAATCGTTGCATGTTGCCAAACATGCCTGGCGAAACTTTGCTTCCGGACTGTCATTTGGGACTGGAGCCCTCTTCTTTCCAACCTGCAAACATCACATTAGCGCGCAAACTCCCGGCATCGTCATATTGGGACAACAATAATCAACAATGTGTGTAGACATACAGTAGTATTATCACAAAACATCCTGGTAATGATGCTACCAACAAGAAACAAAGTTTCAAGTGCAGAAGCAAGAACTCTTGCCAAGCCTCGCAAGCCAGGCGGATCTCATTGTACAACTTTGACCTCAGAAATAACACCGCGGATGATGATGCCATGCTTGGGAGATTTGTCAAAGCGTCAAACACAATCAAACAAATCCCGAGTATCCCCAGACTGATCTGATCTGGCAAAAGGACTACCACATCAAGCCCTGTGAGACTCTTTTTGCCACTGCGCGATCCACCGCGGGAATCTGTACAGTTGAAGCGCAGTCCCACCTGCAACGATGGCAAATATGACAAATGGTCATTGTGACATCAATGATGATCGTTCTGTCATGAATCAATGAAATTCAAGTCTCTTCATGGAGCAGCAAGAGAGTTTACAGCATACCACACATGATACAGATTTACAGTAATACATATATGATGATAGATGGCAATACGAAATAATACTGTATTATGCTGAAAGCAAGGCATGTTGCATGCAGCAATGAAGTTTGTGGACGCGTCCACCACTGCTCTCGCCAAGAATCGCTTGATAAGCCAGTTGTGGGCTGTGATCAAAGTTTGCAGGACAAAATTGTCAAATGAATTGTCAAATTGTCAAATGCACAGTGTGAACAAATTCACAAATTGCGAACAACTTTTGAACAAATGTCAATCTCTTTTGTCCAATACCTTCCAAGAGATGTGAACACGACACCTACGACACCTCGAACCTCCGGCCTGGGATGATGTAAACGATAATGCAATGATACTGCCTTGAATTTGGAAATGGTTTGGGTGTGTTTGAATGGTCTCAACATGAGCAAGCACAAATATCATGAACATTGATTCCTACATATTCCTACCTTTCTAATGAGTTCCTGTTTTCTGAATGTAAAAGTTTGTCAGATCTCGGTTTACCTTGTTTACCCAGTGAATCTCACACATGTCCCGGCTCACCCTTCTGCTCAGTCTGTGTCAGTTGCTGAATCTGCTGGCACTGAATGTAACGAAGGGTGTGAAACTTTTTTGGGATTCAAACTTTGCAAACAGGTCCCTTCCTGGGCAGAAAAATGCACCACTTGACCTTCGACTCGAACGCCTCAGTTTCTTGCCACCTGGTAAGCCATAGGCTTACGGTCCTCCAAGCCAACATCGCGTCTGCGGCAAGCAATGCTCTTCGCCATTGCCTCCATTTCACAGCACGGTTACAAGAGTTCAAAAGGAACAAGAGCATAAACAAGCTAGCAGCTAGACTGCATCATGATCATTTTCATCAGTGCAGCAGATTTTATCAGATTTCATCAATTTTCAGATGTTCCTGCTGGTTCAAATCTCGGTCCGAACATCCGAAAAGCATCGAAAAGCCATGCCTCGGCTGCATGGCGCGAACGGCTCGGACCTGGCATGTCTAGGATCGTTGCTGTGGCAATCCACATCGCATCAAAACAAGAGATGCAAAATGATTTGAATGCTAACAATTATTCATAATGATTTTGGAATTGGGGGTTGCCTTCCCCTCGAAACATGCTGCTATGACGCTATGAGTGCTGAATACAAAAACAAAAGATCAAGTCATTGATAATCCCCGCCCAGATAGATCAAATAATAATGTTGTCTGAAGCTGTCTGAATCCTGCCCAGAGGTCTGATACCTTGCGCGTTCTATGTCAAAAAAACTGTCAGGCAAGAAGCATACTACAAGCACACTAGAAGATCTAGAAGCAAGCATGTTTAGGTAACAAGCCATCCTTCCCACCCCACCATGCTGCACACCACTTGCTTCCAAGACGTCACCTGACACCAGAACAGAGCAGAACAGAAACAATTTCCGAGTGCGCAAACATGCACGAAACAAAATTGTTCCTGGCATCAAGCCCCTTCTTGACTGGAGTTTGTTGAGGATGGTGGATCATACAGATCTGTGACTGAAAAGCTGCAATCGATGAATCAGTGTATGTTATGTATCTAGCTGTATGCATGTGCATAAATATACAGTATGTGTATAGGGAGAGGGAGACGGAGATAGAGAGAGAGAGAGAGATGACAGGACATGACATGACAGGACAGGACAGAACACGGCATGGCAGGGCATGACATGACATGCCGTGCGCGCTTTGCTCACATGTTTCTTTTAAAACTGTATACATATACTCGACCTAACTGTGCTCCAGATCTGATGAAGAAAACTTCTTTCAAACAGAGCAGAGGCACAGGGGTTAAAACCAGAAGAAGAGCCAGGGGGGTGGGAACTTCCATGTCCAAGATGATCCAAGATGCTTGTTAGAAGTGCAAAGTCGGTGATTTCCCCTGCAATCTTTCCCTCCTGGCAAAGGATATGGCATCCAAGCCGAATGTAGCAACTCTGAGAGCTCTCGGTGGTACTCAGTGCTTTCAACTATATTTAGCTATACGTATGTATACTATATTGATCTATATTGTAATTATGAAGAATTATGAATGATAGTGATTACAAGATAGTACAATCGCAAGACGCTGAGAACCTGAGGATCTCCTTGATGGCAAGCCCACAGAGCTGAAGTCTCGCGAAGGTCGCCACTGATGCCGCGCCTCCCGCCCAAGAAACTTTTTGGCGACTCTTTGAACAAGAACGGGCGACTTTCGTTGACTCTGTTGACAGTTGTTGACTCTCAACACTCAGGATTGGAAAGGAAGGACAGGTTGAAAGTTGAGTTTCAGTTTCAATAGCACGCGACCTTGAATTCCGCGAAGCGCTGATGCCAAAATAAGCCACCTCAATTGCAGCTTCCACACTGAATCCTTGACACAGAATCTGGATTTCCCCACAGGACTGCTGCACCATTGCTTTGGAACAGAAAAAAACAAGAGCGCGGTGACAAGCACGGAAGAAAACCAAGCACAAGTTAGGTCTGCCTGCCTGTCAAGTCCCCTAAAAATCTCAATGCGTCCGCTGTCGAACCCAGTTGGAACCTTTCACCATCATTCATCAGCATGGTTTGTTTTATCCGTGGCAGTAGTTCACTTGTTCCCAACGTCAGCTGACACAGCGCAAGGAAACCAATAGCGTTCAATAGCATAGCAGCAAAATTGGACCCGGACTCTCCAGGATGCAATGGTACAAAGTTCAGCAGCTTGTGAGCCTCACTGTTTCATCAAGTGACGCTACCCTCGCTTGAAGTTTAAATAAGAACCAATATCAACACAAAATCAACACAAAAAGTTGCAGATTTGAAGAGAGGGAACACCACCAAATGAATCAAAGTGCAACCACCCAAGTCAGCGGCGCCCATCATTGCCAACATCAAGTCATCAAGATGTTGCACCTGTGCAGGGACAAAGTCTGCTGGACATGTGAAGAGACTTGGACGCTGCTTGAGCAGCTCCCGAATAAAACACTCTTTGCATTTTTGCGTCAGCAGTGTGTGTTGCCTTTCCACAACGCGCCCACCTGCTTGCACGCCTCAAGCCACGCCCTGCCGTCCATGACAGCGTGCCCACTTCGAATGGTGCAGCACATTCTGCTTTCACAAAGCATTCGAAGTCATTGAGCAGTGATGCACAAGTCTTGCCAGTGGCGAAACTTCTTTGCCACCATAGTGCCTCATGGCAAGCCCGTCTGCGTAGCGTGGAAAATGCTGCCAAATTTCAGCCTGCAAGGGGGATACGGCCAACCAAACGCTGCACATCGAGACAGAATACAATTTGGAGGCACCAAAGATGGTTAGCGGTTGGCCGTTCACGAGACAAAGTGCTCCGAACAAGGGGAGATGTTACAGTACCTAGAAAATGGAGAGTCATGATGAGTCATGTGCAGAGTCACGTCTCAACTCATGAAGGCAGCATTTCGCGAAATTTGAGTGCGCAAGTAAGGGTGAGCCTTGGACCGCGCTATGCCTGCGGCGAAGCTTCACGTTGGTGTCGCACTGGTGGGGTTGAATAAACACTGAGTTCACACATGTTGACGCAGATCTAGATTCGAAGCAAAGAAAAATGAAAGCTGATTGCTGAAAAATTGAAACATCTCAAACAAACTTCGATTCAAGATTGATTTCGAAAGCATAATCAAATGAAAATCATTGGAGTGCAATCACACCATTGGGAACTTTTTGCCACAGATTCCATTTTAGATAATTTGCTCTTGCAAAATGCTAAATTTCACAAACACAAAGATGTCGCAATTAAGCTTCACCCTTGCGAATAAGGTTTCTGCCAGTGTCTGCTCTACTGGTTTACGTTCACCCGCCTCAAAATTCAATGCGTTTTGACAGCCATGCCTTACTGTTTTTCTGATATGTAGGTGAACTGCGTATGCTGCAAGACCTTGAGACAGCGTGCGCTCTGATTGTCAAGGCAAACCACCTTGCCAAAAATGTCTTTGGCACATCTCTCAGCATGAGGGGAGAGCATGGAGGATCCAATTGGGGAGTGGGGTTTGCAAATGAGGGATATAAGGTTCGCAATTAAGCTCTTGGAATTGCGCTAGTTGCTGACAAAAACCCCATGCTCTCCCCTCATGCTGAGAGATGTGCCAAAGACATTTTTGGCAAGGTGGTTTGCCTTGACAATCAGAGCGCACGCTGTCTCAAGGTCTTGCAGCATACGCAGTTCACCTACATATCAGAAAAACAGTAAGGCATGGCTGTCAAAACGCATTGAATTTTGAGGCGGGTGAACGTAAACCAGTAGAGCAGACACTGGCAGAAACCTTATTCGCAAGGGTGAAGCTTAATTGCGACATCTTTGTGTTTGTGAAATTTGTTCGGGTTACGCCTGCATTTTCCGTGATTGCGTTCCCACCTGGTCCTGGCGCCTGGCAAGCCTGGCAGTGTCAGTCGTCCACGAAAGTCCTGGTGAGCTTTGAGATGAGCGTATGCCTTAGCGCCAAATCAAAAGTGCAAAAGTGGCACAAAAAAACATACAATCAACATACACACGAATCACAATAATTCAAGAATCACATCAAGATATCTGTGTTCACTGTTCATTGGCTGCTTACCGGCCTTTGGTCATTTTCCAAACGCATCTGCCCATAGTCAAAGCGCGCTCACGCAAAGAGCGCTTGACCAAATGGACAGTGCATAGTCAATATGCTGCGCCTTTTGCGCATCTGGGATCATATGGGATCATATGGACACCTTTGGATCCCCTTTGTACGTCAAGGGATCTATGCTGCCCAAACACTTCAACTTCAGTCATATTTTACTCTGAAGGGAATCTGCCGGGAAAAACACATGTCACAATTGCCAGAATGGTCACAATCCGCACCTTTCTGGGCCAGCTAGTCCTTTGGGCCGATTTGTATCTTTCGGTCCACCTGACGTCTAGGATACATCTTGGATATCTGGTTTTTTTCGGTGAACCAGAGGGTTCGCTAAGCCTCTGTGAGACCAGGCAATGAGACGAGAACTTTTCTCATCGCCTCAAATGATCTTCTTTGACCGAAAAAAGCGTTTGAAGTACAGCATCTGGTAACCACCAACTCCAATCCTGGTAGAGCAGCTGGTGAATCAAGTCGCGACTGGTACAGCAACTAGTATTATTGTAATCTGGCAATCAATTTCAAGGTCCAAAAATCTGGCACGGGACACGCCTGCGACTACATTGAGTCACTTCGCTGTTGTTTTTGTTAAAGCAAGTACTGGTCTGTCCCATTTGTCTAGGTTGTTTGATTACTTGCAGAAGATAAGAGAGATTCTGCTCTAGATTCGGGTTTCGGAACCATTACAGGGAAAACAGAACATCTTGGTGATCCATAGTGATCTTTGGTGATCCATGGTGATCCATGGCGATCCATGGTGATCAAGATCCATAGTGATGCATGATGAATCATGATGAATCATGGCGATTAATGGCGATTCAATTCATGGTGATGCTGGAGCATAAGACATATGATGGTTTGCTCGCACTGAAAATGGCGCCGAGACTCATCAGCACGACATTGAACAGGCAAAAGAATATGACCTCAGCCGCAAACAATGTCACAAGGTCACAGGTCTTTGATTTTCAAATTGAAGCAGCAGAAGCAGCGGCAGCGGCAATATTGTCAAGCGTCGTCGTCGTCGTCCTCCTCCTCCTCCTCATCATCATCATCATCCTCCTCGTCGTCGTCGTCGTTGTTGTCGTCTTTGACGTTGTTGCTGCAGATTTCATGATACGTGTGTATGTGTATAAATACATACAGACATGGATGTGATGTATTCTGACCCGAATAAATCTCCAACATGTGTATCATGTGTATACATACATACATACATACATACATACATACATACATACATACATACATACATACATACATACATACATACATACATACATACATGCATTGCATTGCATTGCATTGCATTGCATTGCATTACATTACATTACATTACATTCCATTCCATTCCGTACCATACCATACCATACCATTCCATTCCATTCCATACCATACCATACCATACATACATTACATACATTGCATACATTACATACATTACATACATTACATACATTACATACATACATACATTACATTACATTCCATTCCATTCCATTCCATTACATTACATTACATTATATTACATTACATTACCATACATACATACATACATACATACATACATACATACATACAGACATACATACAGACATACATACATACATACACATACATACACATACATACACATATACATACATACATACATACATACATACATACATACATACATACATACATACATACATACATACATACATACATACATACATACATACATACATCATACATACATACCACATACATACATACATCCATACCCTACATACATACATACATACATACATACATACATACATAGCAATACATACATACATACATACATCACATACATACATCACATACATACATCACATACATACATCACATACATACATCACATACATACATCACATACATACATACATACATACATACATACATACATACATACATACATACATACATACATACATACATACATACATACATACATACATGACATACATACATGACATACATACATGACATACATACATGACATACATACATACATACATACATACATACATACATACATACATACATACATACATACATACATACATACATTACATACATTACATACATTACATACATACATACATACATACATACATACATACATACATACATACATACATACATACATTACATACATACTACCATAC